GGTTTGTCTTCACTGAATTTGACAAGGCATTTAATTAAAGGATTTTATAGATTTTCAATACATTATACTTATCATTTTGATTAGACTTTTAGTTAAACTTAGTACGTTCTGTAAGAGAAACCTAGAAACCCAATTCAATCTACGAATTCCACTATTTATATAAACCTTGCACGTATGCAAGGGCTGCTCACACAAGTTAACTATTAAGGTTATCATTCTGTATTGTGGTAATAACCTTTACGGTTCACTTTTATTCTTAACACAAAATTCACATATTCAGACCTAAGACATTTTAAAATACTTGTCAATTGCCTTCTATGCATAACCTTTCTATATATAGAACTTTATATTTCATCTATCGGCATTATAATCATTAATATGCATGTTTTCTTTCTCACGAAAACGACCTCTATAATTATTAAGAATATATACGATTTGACTGAACTGTGGACACTTCTGAAATAGAGTTATATCCTATTTAAGAAGTTAAATAATCAAGCTGTGTGGCACAAGCATATGTCAAAATGTACCAAAATCTTCAATTTTGTGGTCAAAATCATCTTCACTACTATGTGTCTGTCGATTAATAAGCCTACATAAGTACACAGTTGAATCGTATCTGCACTATGGCCCTCTCTTTAAAACGGTATAAATACAGGTAATGTTGAGACTCGTATCTCTTTTTAAAAACTTCTTCAAGAATATGTCATGAGCGGAGTTCAGATAGTATCATTAAAAGATACAGACTTGTTCAAATCATTGAAAGTCGGTAAAAACATTTTATCTAACAAAGTAGTCTACCCACCGACTACAAGATTGCGGGCTTTAGACGATCATACACCTTCAGATTTGGAATTAGAATACTACGGTGAAAGGTCTAAGTACCCAGGATCCTTATTGATTGCTGAGGCTACTTATATTTCTGGAACAAGCTGGTTTCAACGGAAGATTTCCGCCTGCGTGGAGTTCTGAACCAGGTGGGTATGCTCCAGGTATTTGGAATGACCAGCACGTTCTGGCGTGGAAAAAAATCACTGACAAAGTCCATGAAAATGGTTCATTCATTTCAAGTCAATTCTGGTTTTTAGGAGTTGTTGGAGATCCCCAGTTATTAAAGGATTGTGGATTGGATTATGTTGCGCCGTCACCCATCTATCCAAATGAGGACTTTAAGAAGAAAGCTGAAGCTGCAGGCAACCCACTTAGAGCCTTAACAGAGAAGGAAATTCATGATCTCATTTATATTACGTACACCAATGCCGCTAAAAATGCAATTGCAGCTGGGTTCGATTATATTGAACTTCATGCTGCCCATGGATATTTGCTTGACCAATTTTTGCAACCAATTATGAACTAACGGACAGACAAATACGGTGGCAGTGTTGAAAACAGAGCAAGATTTGTTTTAGAATTGATTGATCATTTGAGTGCCGTTATTGGTGCGAACAAATTAGCTATCAGAATTTCCCCGTGGGTTAAGTACCGAGGAGTAGAGGTAAAAAAAGATTCCACACACCCAATAACAACATTCAGTCACCTTTTACATGAACTACAAAAAAAGGCAGATAATGGAAATGAGCTCGCCTATGTGTCGATTGTCGAACCTCGTGTTCAGGGAGGCAATGACATTGATAAGTCGCAAGAGGTTGGTGATAACACTTTTGTTAGGCAGATTTGGAAAGGAGTTCTTTTAAGGAGTGGTAGCTATACCTATGACGCACCTCACTTCAAAACTTTATTGCATGATATTAGCGATAACCGTACTTTAGTCGGATTCGCAAGATATTACACATCTAATCCTGATTTAGTCAAGAGATTATACGAAGGTTGGGAATTAACCCCATATGAGAGGCTCTCCTTCTACGGTCCAAGTAATTGGGGGTATAACACTTTTAATCATTATAATGAGAATCAAGAGTTTTCTAAAGATATCGAAAGCAAAAGATTGCCTCAGGATATCGAGATATAGAAGTCGAATAGTGATATTTGTATAAGTTACCTTAGAGTTATATAAATTAGTATGTTGTTAGTTCCGAATTTAAATTTTTAACTTTCCATTGCATAGTGGAAGTATTCAAGAATGAATTATCATAAGTAGTTTAATTAGTTTTATATCCAACAGCTGAACGTTATTTTGTGACGACTAGATGATTTTGCGAGTGAAACTGGGAAATAAAAATGTCTAAATATAAAGACATATGAAATACTTGGCACCACATCTCTCATAATAAAATGTATAGCATGGTAAAGGGAAAAATCAATGTTCCTTGTATTTCTAAGCTGCAGCTTTTCTTTAAATATGTGACATCATGAAGGCACATATAAACAGTTTAACATCGGACTCTACAGCATATGAATCAACTATGACTATGTTCTTTTCCATAACTTTTAAAATTCTAAAAAGTACCCAGTAGTAATTAATGGTATATTAAAAATGCAATGTATAATATTTCATGAATACCTATGGCCAGTTATTGCAAGGTTAACTTGAATTGCAGCAATATTCTCAATTAGGTTTTATGATACAAAATCGGCTTGAATATCGACAATTAGTAAGCGAATTGAAAATGAAAGCACGTAATATATTTCTAACCTGCACTCTACATATAGGTGAACAGATTCTTACTAATAACTACAATACTATAAATACCTGAAAAGAGCATTAATTATCATGAAGTTAATGTTCTTAAGCACTTATCATAATATAATACAATGGCTGGTGTCCAAATCACTTCATTAAAAAATACAGACTTGTTTAAATCAGTGAAAGTAGGTGAGCATACTTTGTCTAACAAAGTAGTTTACCCACCTACTACAAGAATGAGGGCTTTAGACGATCATACACCTTCAGATTTGGAATTAGAATACTACGGTGAAAGGTCTAAGTACCCAGGATCCTTATTGATTGCTGAAGCTACGTACGTTGCAGAACAAGCTGGATTAAATGATTCAATTCCAGCTGAATGGAATTCTGAACCAGCCGGTTATGTGCCGGGTATTTGGAACGAAGAACATGTGAAAGGGTGGAAAAAAATCACCGACAAGGTCCATGAAAATGGTTCGTTCATTTCAAGTCAGTTCTGGTTTTTAGGTAGAGTTGGTGATCCACAGTTATTAAATGATCGTGGGTTGGATTATGTTGCACCATCGGCAATTTATCCCGATGAGGATTTTAAGAAGAAATCTGAAGCTGCAGGTAACCCACTTAGAGCCTTAACAGAGAAGGAAATTCATGACCTTATTTATATTACGTACACCAGTGCCGCTAAAAATGCAATTGCGGCTGGGTTCGATTATATTGAACTTCATGCTGCCCATGGATATTTACTTGATCAATTCTTACAACCAGCTGGGAATGAGAGAACCGATAG